CCCAACTAACCAAATCTCAGTGGCATTGTCTCGCTCTGAACCTGCGTGTCAAAAATATGGTTTAATATTACTTGCCAAAATGGACAAAATTATCATTAATGCAGTGCATGAACTGACATTACGCTGTTTTTACTGCATTTGTTTATTTTTGTGGCCATAAAAATTATATGAGATTTTCGACATGAATGAAGTGCATCCTCTTGGATGTAATATTAAAATTTATTTTTTGCTGTGAAGTTCAGCATCTCCCAACTATGGACAGCTCAATGTTAATACCATTTACTCTTTGAATCAGCATACACCAACATGATAATCTTCTAAGAAACACCTAAGAATGTATAGCGATAAAGCTGAAAATACAGTTTTAACTGATAGTACTTTATAAACATCAAACTGGCCAATATTGGACCCTGCCAACACACGGCGCCTGCACGGTAATGTGGGCCGTCAGAATGGTTCATCGGTTGCGAAAGCAAGTGCTTCTCAAACTGAAGCGATACATTTCTCAATTTTTTAAACGTAATCCTAACGTAAACTTATTCGTATTATCACCCATATGCCCGTCCACGCCCGAAATTCATCCACCACACAAAATCAAATAAAAATGTTTCTGTATGACAAACACGTCCAGAAATAAACGATAATATTGGTGTATATCTTCACTGTAACAACTACGGGTAATCATCGAAAGTACTTGCAATTTACCCAGGCACTTTTGAGCAAACTGCAATCACTCTCTCATACTCGAAATGTGCCACGACCAAATTGGCACAACGAAGCCCTATACGCTATCTGACCAAAGCGCAGGGTGTATATTTCTAATTCATTCCGGGCTAAAATTCATAATAATGTATACAATTAGACTAGGATGATATCATTGCTGAGATCTATCTGAGATCAGTTCATAAATCCAGACACTTTTAAAGAAACAAAAAAAAAATGATACTCAATACAAACCATTTAGCAAATAGCACGTAAATCGTAACAAAGTAGACGTAATATTTAATTTAAGGAAAAATCCGTCATTCGGTGCATTACAGTACATTTCAGACACAAAGGCATTCCTGTTAACATCGTGTCGAAAGAGTGGACAACATTATTTATATAGGGGAAATAAATGTAATGTCGGGGCCTCCCTTAGCTCAGTTGGTAAAGGCGCAGCTACGAAGCAAGACCATGCTGGAGTTGGCTGGGTTCAATTCCCGGTCCGGTCTAGGAATTTTTCGGGTTGGAAAATTTATCGACTTCCCTGGGCATAGAAGTATGATTGGACTTGCCACACAATTATACCAATGCAAAAATGGTACAGGCAGGCATCGAAAGCTCTCAATTAATAACTGTGGAAGTGCATCTAGAACACTAAGTTGAGAGCACGCAATAAGCTTATATGCGATATGCAATAAGCTTGAAATGCGAAGAAGAAGAAGAAGGATGTAATGTCGGCCTTAATTTTCCTAATTTGGGCCCATACATAAATTCAGCAATCGACTAAATTTTCAATAGCGACCAAAATTATCCATTAGTACCGTCCCAATGACGCGTTCATCTAGATAAAATTGATAAATAGCACATTTTTAGCGATGGGCCCAATCCGTAGATCCATAGGTCAACATTAGAGCCATTTCCCCTATTATACATATTTGACCTAACTATATTGAGCTGAATTGGTCATTAGGTCGAATTTGCTAGTTTGAACTTGAACATAGAAATTGTTTTAATATTCTTGAACTTGGCAAAATTTAAAAATCTTGTGTTATTTTCAAAAATTGCAACGTGCCAGTGCGGTGTTACTCCCAGTACTGATGAGACTCCCATCTTCAATCCTCAGGGTCGGCACACGCTCAGTACTACGGATAAAACTCCCACTTTATTCGCTTTTATTCGTATTGCTTCCTTCCCACTTCACGAACGGTCTCGAACCTAACGTCTCCTACTTCCTTACTGTTCTAATCCTACCTTGCGCTAGTACTGTTTGCTTCGTTGTCTTCGGGACCCCTTCACCTGCCACTGCCTTCGCCGACGCTTCACTTCTTCCGCTGGTGCTGCTTCTTCTCGTTGGCCAGGGGTGGCCGTTCTCCTTTGCTTCCTTCTTCTCGCTTCGCTTGTTTCGGTTGCAGCCTTCAGTGGAGCCTTTCATTTGTCCCGTGCGTTCCTCGAGTATGGTAACGGACTCGAGGCTTCAACAGTCCCGTGGAACAGTTGGTCTGTCTGGTTTCGTGGTGACCACTACTGGCGTTTGGCGTGGTTGATTATACGAACGATGAACGGCCTACCGTAAACTTTACGTTTAAACCGCGAGGTCCTGGATGTAACAGTACGTGGCAACGTCCTCGACTCTGTTTAACTCCACTCCTAAGTTTACTCTCACTTGACGCTGTTTATCGTCTACTTCCACTTGATTATTATGTATAGCTTTCTTGCGACTAGCCTTCGTGGGCATTCTAGGACGTTTTACCTTTTACAAACATGTAAACCTTTTCTTGGATTTTAAAAACAAAATATTCGAAAATACACGTGATTAATCTCACCAATCTTGGACGCAATACTTACACTTGTTACAAAATGTTGGACGAAGAAGTCAAATTTTGTAAAATTTCAAACATTACAAAATCAGCTAGGTCTTGACAATGTTTGTAATTAACAGGACTTTGAATGCGAAAAGAAAACTTTGCATGAGAATTTAAGCAAGTCCTGACTGAAATGTAGTTTGAACTGTGAGAAGAATTCCTGGTGGATTCTAAGGAGCGTTCCAAGTTATTTCTAAGTAGAATTCAATGATAACTTTCAGAAAAAAAAATGATTGTGAGAAAAATTTCAGAAGGATTATAATCAGATTCTAAAAGAATGCTCAGTGTTGGCTGGGAATACTGATGAAAATTTAAAGAGAATTCGAGGAAAATACTAAAGGTATTCTTAGTAGAATTAAAAATAATTTTTGAAAGCAATCCTAGAAAACTTTGAGAGGAATCCAATGAAAATTCTGAAGAAATTTTTAAAATTTAGAGCAGGCAAAAGCTCGTATGACAGCGCCAAATGTTAGGATGAAGAAGATTCAGAAGTAATCTTACTGTAGAGACGGAAAACATATCGGTAAGAATTCCTAGGGAAATTCTGAAATAAAATTAAATACAAATAATTTCAACATTCATGATCAAGGATATGGAAAATCATCAAGAATTCATCGACTTCAGAAAATGTTGTTTATGTCTGAGTCATGCCTAAGCTTAAACCTGGAAGACATGTCTAGAAGACTTAATATTTTATTTGATAAAAACATTATTGACATCATGAATTTATGGATTAATTATTGTCATTATTTTGCTTTTCAGTTTAGATGATACAGTCAACTCTCCATTTGTCGATGTTCTATATCTCGATATTTCTCCCTATCTCGTTGGTTTGAGCAGTGCCTTTAGATTCGTGTTCGTGATCAAATTACTCTCCATATGTCGATGAAAAAAAATCTAGTTCCCAAGTTGTTTCTACCTTTTGAAGTAATTGATCGAGTTTTGCTTTGCACATACATAAATTATGAATATTACTGGTGATGTAAACAACCATGCGTGCAAACTTGTAAATCTTATCACCCAAACTAACAACTTGCAAGAAATATTGCTTATAATGATGTACGGTTTCATACAATATTTGTAATAGCTCATTAAATGTCTCATAACTTTACATGATCTATAATGTAATCTTGTATGACATATGACGCTCCATTTATGTTCATCATATTGAATAGAAATTTAAACTACTTTTTCGAACTGTACACTTTTGAACCCGAAGGGCTTCTAGAATCGTACTAGTAGGCTAATAAAATTCAATATCGAGAAATGTATTTACATTTAAATTTAATTACCTATTTGAGTTAGAGATCCATTTGTCGTTCGAACTTGTGGCAAAAAAAAACTTTACCTAGTCAGACTTACCCTTACCTTTAGCTCAGTCGGTAAGAGCATAGCTACAAAGCAAGCAAATGTTGGAGGTGGCTGGGTTCGATTCCCGGTGCGGTCTAGGAATTTTTCGGGTTGGAAAATTTCTCGACTTCTATGGCCATAGAGTATGATGGCACTTGTCACACAGTTATACTAATGCAAAAATGGTGCAAAATTAACACCGGCCGCTAAATCATTTCAAATCAACTCACCGAAGTAGTCAGACTTCTAATCGTCGTCGATGATCGCTGTAGCTTAATAGAATCAGAGTACAGTCATTTGTAGAGACAGAAGCGAATTGAACTGTGCCACCTACTGAGCAACCCCTGCACGACTTCTGTCATGCACCTCTGCAACTTCATATTTGCAAGTGTATCTGACTGCAACCGAGCGTAGACGAGACAGTCTAGCCAGAAGCTGTGCTCTGATGATGATTAAGTCAGTTTACTAGCGTAATTAAAATGGCTGATGAATGCAATTCAATTTAATTTACGAGTGATAGAAACTTGCGTTAGCGTACTTTGCGTGGGAACCAATGAATTGTTGTTTCATCCGGATTTTGTTTTTGCAAGTCATTAACAAATTGGTGTTGAGTGGCGTTTGAGCTCTACATATGTTGCTATCGTTAAACTCTATGTTGAATTATTGTTACGTAGTAAATGTCCATTTAAAAACAAATTTGCATTAACTTACATATATAATAATAATAATAATAATAACCCTTCATTTCAAATGAACCATACTGTGCATATTAATAGTCCGCATTTCGGTAATGGCTTAATTAGGATCTATTTGTACTTGGACAAAGTTCACCAGAGTTTGTGTTTCTTTCACGTTTATTCATTTTTCTTTTTTTCTTTTCTTTCTTTTGCATGTGCTGTGCGATTTGTTGTTGCGTTTTGTTTCATACACGGCCCATCACCAATTACAAACTACTTAACGATGCAATTCACTGCACCATTGGACATGTTTATCACACAACCCATTCACACATCCATACACGTACGTGCACATCAAACAAATCACGCTTAAATTGTCAAACACGATTGCGACCACCAACGGTAGCTGCGGGACGGCCAGAGTTGCATCCGGACAAACCGAGCTTTGACCCGCTGCGACCATTCGAACAATATATCCGGTCACAATTTGCCGCCCTCGAATCATCGACCGGCGAACAGTTGAGGAAAGACGTACCATCGCTAAGTACTAACTTCAGTAATCTAGCACTGCACTCGCCGGCAATAGTGGCGGCTGCGGCGGCACTTACAAAGTCACCATCAACTTCCACGGCCATTCCGTCCGTGGCAGCACCGGACAGTGGTTCCATTGCGGAAAACCAAGTAATAATGCGGCAGAAACAACAACAGTATTTACGGTCTCAGCCGCCGCAGCAGGCGGCAACGGCGGCTAGCTCTGTCCAACAGCCGCCGCCGCCACTAGAAACCAATTTCGATCGAACAAGTAATAACCAAACGTCTGGCAATAATAGTAGAAATAATAGAAGAATTGGACGACACGAGAGTCGTTACACCAGTGGTAATGATGAACATTCTTATATTTGAAATTTATGTCTACTGTCTGAAACAAAATTAATATACACTTTCTCTGTCTTTCGGCTGTGAACCACTTCAGTACCCACTCCTTTTCTTCTACTATTCCTCTACTAACAAGCTTAGTCCTAAAACAACAATAGCAATGACGTGAATGACGTGGAATTCTATACATTGGTATCGACTAAGGACACCATTTTCAAAAATCTTCACTTAACTCTCCCAAATATATGATTTTCCTTTCGCATGTAATTAAATGGTTAAAGTTGTGTACGTTTCGAAAAGGTCGTTAACGTTTGTTTTTAAAATTTGCATTTCTATTTTCCGTTTCATTATATACTGCATGATAATTGTTTTTATTTTATTTTATCTTTTTGAATAAATTATCGGCAACGTTCACTTCGTGATTCATCGGGTATGATCAAACAAAACAAATTGAGAAAATGGTTCAATGGTTGTATTAATAGGGTCCCAGACCGAAAAGCGCAACCAGACGCAATGATCGACAGCATAAATAGAAATACGACACAACACTCATATTTTCACATTGATCACACGTTCCTATTCGTCAAGTTTCCAGTTCTTGATTTCTCAAGTTAAAACCACCACTTGTAAAGCTGTCTGAAGTTATTAATCGATCTATGTGCGTGATCGTCAATGGGTAATTAACGTTCAATTGGTGGGCCCAGCAGCTGTCCGATTCGAGAATGCGGCTTGTTTGCATTCATCGTTTGAGAATGGCCGTCATCACCTACGCAATGCTCGAATTGATTGTGATAAGCTGCACGCTAGACGAGTGCGCGCATTAATTTAACTCACATGACGCAATGTCAAGTAGCTCAAACTATGAAGGGTCAGTTAGGGTGACAGATGTTTGAAAATTCTTGAAGGCTGCCAGATTTGATATCACAACTACTGACAGCATAGCGCATCACGCTTACCAATACACCACCAGCGCTGCTAATGATGATTTATTCTAAAAAACATAGCGCATCTGTAAAGAGACGATATTGAAGGATGCTGAAATTACTAAAAAGATTTTCTTTAATCCAAAAAAGATTTGTTTTGCTTAAGTTTATAAAATATCGTTCCAAAATTATTTACGATTTAAACTACTTCATGACAAATTGACGTGTCGCAAATCTCTGTTGAACTGCCGTTAGCTAAATATCCATTCGGCCAAGCTTCTTCATGGCAAACACCCATTCGCCGACACATCCATTGGGACAAGCATTCGGTCTATCGGCCATATGTCAACAAAGATCCCTCAATTCGGTGTAAAGGACACTTTAATGACCAAGTAGCTATTTTGGTCTTATGAAGGTTCTGTAGACCATGATTTCTAGACTTGTAGAATGCTTTAAAACCACGATAAAATTTGCAATGTTACTTTGGAGAAACATGCGACTTGAGCACCATAGAAAATATTAACAGGATACCAAAATTCTATCTGGTATGTTTTTGAAGTTATTAATTTTGGGTTCTGGACCACTGTCAGTGTAGCCAGGGAACCGTGAAAACTGGAAATTTGAAACAATTTGAGCTGAATAATAGCACAATAAGCCATGTTTTAGATGAAGAAGCATATTTTTGCCTGAATAAGCTCTCATGCTGCTTGCAATTTTTGCTGGGAATTGCCATTGTTTTATTTTAATTACTCAACAATATTGCAAGTTGATTTCTCGTCTCTACTCCAATTCGGATGCGATGTGTATTTATGAGCCTTAACTCTTTATAAGACCGTAGAAACCAAACATGCAATCAACTGGGTACACGACGTTAGGCATACAGACGTTAGGCATATGGACGTTAGGCATAATGTACGATAGGCATAATGGACGTTGGGCATAAAGGACGTTAGGTATAATGGACGTTAGGCATTATCTACCCGATTAATTCCAGAAGTATGATAATAGGGACCGTCTATTGATTTCTGACTTCGGTGAAAATAATGAAAGAGAAATTTTTCTACGAAGCTGACAAAATGAATCAATTTTTAATGGGTCACTATTGAAAATTACGCAAATGTCCAACTGTTGCAATGTTGATCAAAATTATCACCGATTGCCTGCAAAAACATGGTTTCCCTAACATAGTCGCCAAATATTGATACAGAGCACGTCAAATCTACGGTCGAGTCTAGGATACAACCTCTTACTTTTTTTTTATCAACCTCAGCATACGATTCTTTTGGTATTTTTCTTTGAATTCAGTTGAAGGTTGGTCCCTTAAACTCTGTTCATAATTTTCTTTGAATTCTCATGAAAGTTCTTAAATTTACCTGATGTCCTCCCCAAAATCTCCATACAATTCTCATGAAAATCACCTAAGGAGTTCTTCTTGAAGGTCTCCTCACAACTAACTTGAAACATATTTTAAGAATAGCGTAGGATTTTAATCTAGTACTTCTCCCCACAAATCCCATGAAATTCATCTCAGAATTTCGAGGTACTTAATCTCAGAATTCCATTGGAATTCCGGTCAGAACTCTATAGCCTTTCTTGATATCAGCATCTATATCAAGATTTCGCTGGAAATAATATGTATGACGTTTGATATCACGTGGTGTGGTGCGGTATGAACAAATGTCAAAGCATTAGATTTATAGAAAGTATCTCAAATCTCAAAATTTTAAAATTCTTGGTAGTACAGACTACGGTTCTGGATCCAAGATTTGTAACGATTTTCTCTAGCTTTATCATTTGTATAAAGTTAAAGATTTCTAAAGAAATTTACGATTTTTTTTTAATCGGGCAAATGACACGAAATTATTTCGCCCACAAGTACAGTTTTGGTTGAATTTGAGAAAAAAACAATCCAAAAATATGTGGTGGTAAAACTTCCCGGAAAAATTTATTTGAAGTTTTTAGATTTTCCTGGACATCACAAACTTTCAAAAATAATAACTCATGAACCAAGCATAGAAGTAGTTTTTTTAGTGAAATTGTAGGGAAATTATCTAAGAAATACAAAATTAAAAATAATCTATAAATATAAATAAAATACTAATAAATCGATTTTTTTCAACGGTTGAGGGAAATTGAAAGTTCTTTTAAACATGATCGTGTGTGAAAATTTCTTATCTTTAAGTGCAGAAAATTTCAGCGTGGATCTTACCGTTTTTGAGTTATTGACCGAAAAATTAACGGTCGATCACGCGCCAGAAACCGCGAAGATTTGAACTGGGAAATCCGACAAAACACACTGCACTGCAAGCAAGGGCGTAGCTAGGTTTCGAGCTAGGGAGGGGTGGGAAAAAAATTTACTATGGAACATTTGACCGAATGCTATTTCACCGAAAGCCTTTGTGTTGCTGAGTTTAGGGGGCATTTGCCCTCCCCCCCCCCTGCCCCCCTCTGGCTATGCCTATGACTGCAAGTACATACACTCAAGTGACGACGTCACTCTACCATAACATTCCATACTGCGAACAGTGAGATTTACGTCACTGCCAACAGCTGTTTCGTGTGAAAAGATAAACATTGCAATGAAATATGAACACCACTAAACATTTGCACATTTCACCAACACCAATAAGCCTGTTGGTCCGGACCTTATATAAAAGACATTGCCTGCACTGTGTATTGAGCTACAGTAAAGTGAACCAATTTTCCATTTGTTTTCCAATATAGCGTAGGAAGTAAAATAAATAACTAGAAAAAGTAACATCAAACGCACCGATAAATTTTAATCCAACCGATTTATTAACAAAATAAAAAATCAATTAAGAGAATCGATCATTGCAGTGATTCTGAACGCTATAAATGTGTTATTAGACAGATTTTTTTCAATATTTTAAATTCTGAGCCTCGGAGTTTGTTCTCTAGATCACGGGAATTTTAAGAATATAAAAAATGTGAATGAAATACTTTTTCAGATCCTGAATTAGATAATTCAAAATGTCAAGCTTGGAGAAATCTATGAGATTCTTGGAGAAAGGGAAATATTCAAAATGCTGAAATTTTAAAATTTTGTCGGTTGCCGGATTTGAAAAAAAAAAGAAAATTCAAGGTGCATTGTGCATTGGACAATTTTCAAGGATTTAAGTAAGAAAAAACAGGATACTGATCAGATATACTAATTTTTCAAGTCCCAGAATTGAGATATTTTTTTAAGTCCGGGATCTTGAAAGGTTTTCAAAGTCCAATTTATTTTTTCAGTGTTACTGAATTATAAAACAATCCAAGGCCGGATTTGGAGGTATTTCATGGACAAACAAACTAATTCGTCCGGAAATTAAAAAAAAAACTGAATTAATCAGCAATTAACTCTTTTTTTTACTATCGTAAATAACCATTTTATTTGTTACATAACTAAATCTCAACCAAAATGGTTGAAAGTTATCCAAATGACTCAAATTGTTTTTTAGGTGGCTTATTGAATTCGAGACATTTGTTTTCCAAGTTAACAGGTCTAATGTTTTGAAAAATAGGTGTGACGCCTAATTTCCGAAAAAATTATACCTCAACTTGTCATGCTACCAGAATTCAGGTAATTCGAGTCTTGTCGGCATGGATACAATTTGAATGAATCCTCTTGCTAGCCACGGTAGTGTTGATTCTTTTGCATTTAGAATAAATAAATTTCAAAAATTCTCTGTGGAAAGTCAAACGTACAGCAACGTCTGCTATTGTAAAAGAAAACAACTACAATTGATTTACATCATAATTACCGAGCTAATGATATGTCCGTTATGCAATGACGAAATCCTATACAAAACAAGCAACAAAGATGAAGCGGAAGCTCCCGCCAACTGGAATGAATGGAAGTGTGATCAAAGTGAAATGGAGACTCCAGACTGATGCTAAACAAACTCGTACTTCTTTGTTAACACAACACAACACATAGTAAATCATTCATAAGATCACAGTTTCTGATTTTGTTTTCTTGTTTCTCTTCTTTTGCCTCCTACTTGACACACACTATTGTCCCATTGTGCCCGTTGTGTGGTGTATGAACTCTGTGTGTGTATCGCATCAATCATCGATCATGATCCATCGCCAATAAACCAAAACTGTCCACCCATCGTGTACCGGCACCCATCAATATCACACACGCACACCACGCGCTCTGCCTCTCCAAATCACCACGATATCAAACGATTCACCTAACCTAACTACCACAGAAGTACGCCAGGAAGCTGTACAGCAAGCATTAGCTGCATTAAAAAATCGCCCCAAACCTAGCTTACCAATGCCATCCAAACGAAGCTCTGTGCTTAATCGTAGTCCCGAGCGCGATCATGATGACTCAGGTAAATTGTCGACATTTTACACATCATCATCACCACAGTTCGTCTATTCCCACCTTATATACAACATAAAATATATCTCATACAATTCGATCCACTGATTCAGTTTTTCAAAAATCAAATGCTTTTTTGTGAATGTCTTTTGTTCTCGATGATCATGATCATGCCCCGTCAAGCCCACTCAATACACATCGCGCATCACTGGTGCTTCCAATAATAATCTCTGTCCTTTTAACAGATTCCAGCACAGACGACGAGTCGATCCCGGAGGAGGGTATAATCGGTGGTAGGATATCCACACCGGATCGTGATAACTACAACCTTCCACGTGATCACATTCTCGGACGAGAACCAATGAAGCTTCCATCATCCCGCGATCATCATCACTCAAGCCAACAGAAACAACCAAGTCAACCGGCGCCGATTGAACGACGACCACCGCAAAGCATACCCACGCAGAACACCCAACATGCCACTCTGTCAGATACCTCCAGTGCCGGATCTCCCCCGGCAATGCATCGGACCTACTATAATCAGAAAAACAGCTACGACATCACCGACATTTCGGAGTATCAGCAGCGGCCATATGCTGCACCGGACATTACTCAATTCAGTGCCAACACAAGACGGGGAGCAGATCGCGTCACACGGTATGTAAATCTCTCAAGTCAAGAACCCGGCGACACTGGTACCGCTGGGCGATGGAAGGTTTCCGCCAAAATTCAACAACTCCTGAACACCCTGAAACGACCGAAACGTCGACCGCTGCCGGAATTTTATGAAGACAATGACATCGAATTGGAAATTGCCGCCAATCCGAAAGACCCTAACGCCCCAAAACCCGAAGGTAACGTCATGAGTCCGGTACAAGGCGAGCAGTTGATCGTCCCATCGGGTTTACCGCGAACGCTGGAAGCCGCCCTCCAACGGTACGGCACAAGTTCGTTCAAGGCTCCGATGGCGACCGTGCTGGATCCGAACGGAAAAATGACTACCACTTTAACCTACGGAAAACTTTTGTCTCGAGCGCAGAAAATTGCCTACGCTCTTTCAACCAAAGTTTTCAGCAAAGGTCCGGAGCAGCTATCTCTCAAACCAGGCGATAGGGTTGCTCTAGTTTATCCAAACAGTGATCCACTGAGGTTAGTACTGTCATTTTGGTTTACTTTATAATGTATGTGTACTGATGACTTTTTTTTTCAGTTTCATAACGGCGTGGTACGGTTGTATGTTCCGTGGATTGGTCCCACTGCCTATTGAGCTACCTCTTTCGAGTTCCGATTCCCCGCCTCAGCAAGTAGGTTTCCTGCTGAGTTCCTGTGGTGTACAGGTAGCACTGACATCGGAAGCATGCCTGAAAGGATTGCCAAAGTCGTCGACCGGTGAGGTGGCCAAGCTTAAAGGGTGGCCACGGTTGCATTGGTTTGTAACCGAACACCTGCCTAAGGTCCCAAAGGACTTCAATACTAATAATAACCGTATAAATGAGGACTCGATCGCGTACATTGAGTACACTACGGATAAGGATGGCAGCGTCATGGGAGTCACAGTCTCGCGCCAGTCGATGATCAACCACTGTCGAGCCTTGACCATGGCATGCCATTATACAGAGGGCGAAACCATTGTCTGTGTGCTCGATTTCAAACGAGAAGTTGGACTCTGGCACAGCGTGCTGACTTCGGTGCTTAACGGGATGCATGTTCTGTTTATACCATACGCACTCATGAAGCTCAAACCTTCCTCATGGATGCAACTGATCACTAAGTATCGCGCTTCTTGCTGTTTAGTGAAGAGTCGCGATTTGCACTGGGGTCTTTTAGCAACCAAGGATCACAAGGAAATCTCACTTGCGTCGCTACGGATGCTGCTAGTCGCAGACGGTGCCAATCCGTGGTCTCTTTCAAGCTGTGATCAATTCCTGAGTGTGTTCCAATCTAAAGGTCTGCGAGCGGATGCAATTTGTCCCTGTGCGAGTAGTTCTGAGGTCTTCACCGTTTCCCTCAGACGACCAGGTCGATCAGCCGGTGGATTCAACCAATCTGCTACCGGACGAGGAGTCCTCTCGATGGCAGCCCTTTCACATGGAGTGGTTCGCGTCGACAGTGAAGATTCGCTTACATCACTCACTCTACAGGACTGTGGCCAGGTTATGCCAAGTGGTGAGTGTCAAATTGTATTGTACATATCGTTTAGAATAATAAACAATCCAATGTATTTTTCTTCTACACAGCAACTATGATTGTGGTTAACGCCGAAGGTCCAGCGGTGCTATGTAAGACAGATCAGGTTGGTGAAATTTGTGTTACGTCAGGGTCCACTGGAACAACCTACTATGGATTAGATGGCATGACCAACTCTACATTCAAGGTAAGTGTTACCGAAGCTGCAACATTCACAGAAGATCGCCATCATTTTGCAATGCTACTGTTATAGGTTCAGGCACTCACGGAGCCTCCACCGGCTCTGGAAGGTGAAGTACAAACACTAGGAAAGCCCATCAGTGATGAACTGTACGTAAGAAGTGGTTTGCTTGGTTTTCTGGGACCTGGTGGTTTGGTGTTTGTATGTGGCTCTAGAGACGGCCTGATGACAGTCACTGGGCGCAAGCACAACGCTGACGACATTATTGCCACAGTCCTGGCCGTTGAGCCTATGCGATTCATATACCGTGGCCGCATAGCCGTTTTCAGCATAAAGGTATTGCGGGACGAGCGAGTATGTGTGATCGCAGAACAACGACCTGATTGCTCCGAGGAAGAGTCATTCCAATGGATGTCTCGCGTGCTTCAAGCGGTGGACTCCATACATCAGGTAGGAATCTACTGCCTAGCGTTGGTTCCTCCAAATCATCTGCCAAAAACACCGCTTGGTGGAATCCATTTGACGGAAGCTCGCCGTCGATTCCTTGAGGGATCGTTGCATCCAGCCAATGTGCTAATGTGTCCACATACGTGCGTCACAAATCTGCCCAAACCAAGAGAACTCCATCACGGTATGTAGACGCCCTGAGTGATTATTACCCATTGCACCCGATGTGTTCCATTTTTCTCGCTTCTGTTTATCGAACCAATAACTGTTATTGCCTCTTTCCGTTCGTAGAGTAGAGCACATGTTGAATTTGGTTGTTACCAGCACAAAACTAATCTCCAGCAAAGAGGTTCTTTACAAGATGTGGATGTCATCGCATAATTTCCCCTTCAATTGTCCGATCTGTTCTGTTTTGTCGTTTTTTGATTGTTTTCTTGCTTTTTATTCCTACTACCTCGCTATATGGGGAAAAGGTTGACCTACCACTTGAAACGAATCCTCTTGAGCGACAACTAATGCGTGTATTCTGGCTACTCTTTAGTTCGTTTGGCAACCACCTTACTAACTGTATTTTGCCTTATCCAATTGGCTGTACTACTTATCATATAATTTGTTTTCATTAATTTCGTAAACTTTCATTTACTCAAAATTAATATCATTGTTTTTCTCTCTTAATTTTCTTTTTAAATGCTGCTCTGCTCCTCACAAATACTAAAAATCAAAATCTGCAAAACCGACACGTGTGTTTTGACGCAATAACGTAAAATAATTGATAACAAATGGTTCCGTCTACATCACCTATGATCATCACCATCATCTCTTCGCCACCGAATTGGCCGAATAATACCCTCATCAACATCCCTAAAACCATCATCGCCTACGAATATTAAACATGATTTATTTGGTTCTGGTATTCTCGATCACTAAAACCTTACAACCCTGTAAATAATCGTCACCCGTAAAACGGTAACATAACCATACGACATCGTTATAATTTAACCCATCTTTAAAAAAAAATACAATAACAACACCAACTCTCCACCAAATCCACGCACATCCACACGCATAAATCACACGTTTAAACCAATAACCACCCAACATTGAATCCTAACATATATTTCCACCACGTGCCACTTCTTATACCTATCATACACACGCAACACGTATCGTAACAATAACAAAAATCACGCATCAAACCTTTAAAAAAATAACCACCCTCTAACACATCCGCCCGTGAATCGTGAAACGAACCGAAAAACTAAATTCAGGTTCTATCCAACAACTTCAAATTTCCGGCACCACACCGTCGTCGTCGACTTCGATCAACACCGCCGGAACAGATGCCTCCGTCGGCCCGGCTTCGGTGATGGTCGGTAATTTGGTCCAGGGCAACCGGTTGGCTTCAGCACAGGGACGCGACATTGGACTGGCGGATGATAACGAGCGGAAGGTGAGTTGGACTTTTTTCAACAGATTTAGATACATATAATATATATGTCATATATGTAGTCGAGTTGGAGTGTATTTTTTTTTCCTCTGCGAACAGTAATTTGATCTATTGTACCGCGTCTCCTTAGTATAGTGCATGTCGCATTACTCCATCACTATTGAGAAATGATGAAGTATTCGGTTTTGATACAGTTGTCATTATTGCCTTTATCGCAACAAATCGATTCTAATTGCAATTTAAACTATTTAAAACCTTCGAAGAGTGAGAGCACCCTCCAAAACAAAATTAAGCAATAACACCGATAATGATCATGCATCAGAACCCTAGTCTTAACCACTTCAAACTAGAGAACAACGAATAGCAGATTAGGAATCACATTGATGAAGACTAACTAACTCATTTTTTCCTTATTTCAAGATCATCCTCGGTGGACAAAACCGAGTCATGTCACTAACAACAAGGCATAACAAGGACTAAGATGTGTTCCTTTGATCACTGAAAAGTTCTGTTCCTAGTTTGAAGTAGTCAGGACTAGCAATCGATAGTAGATCTTACATCCCGTAACGTACCACGAAAAGGTGATCTACCCACATTACGGGGAGTTTAATAGATCGGGCAAATAGAAGTGAACGATTCATCATTTTTATCGAGGGATAAAAAAAACTTATGGTGGAAGGTCTTTTTTCTAACTAAATTGTTCGAGCATATGTGTATGTGGCGTTCCATTAAAACCCATTGATTCATTAGTATTTATTTGATTGTCAAAATAGACAGGATCGATACAACCCCAATGATAGTTTGCTTGGGACTACATTGAGCCTGGTGATCATCACCATCAAAAAAATAAATAAATCAAGTAGATTATCCAACTTACCCTACATTTTTGATAGGTATCACCAATACTGCTCATATTTGGAACATCAAATGTTGAATTCAAAAACTTCTTTTCTTGTTTGTGTTCGAGTGTATACCGCGTAAACTTTCAGGCAATTCAGAAAAAAAATGAGCAATTTAATTGTGGTTTTGGAAAATTTCTTGGAAACCTACAAAACTTCGAGGTTCAGAAACTGTGAATTGGTCCACTGCGATGGCAGCACGTACAGTGGACTTCGGGTACAAATTCCAGAAACCTCGGGGTCTTGTGAACTTTTACAGCATATCCAGTATAATTATTTATAGGCCTAGGTGGGGCAAGATGCCCTGCTCGATTTTTTTTGTCAACATCAGCCGGCTCAATGTAACCTCAATGCAGGTTAAAAAAAACAAACCATCATTGGGGTTGTGTTGAAGCTGATGATATCGACAAACAAATAAATTAATGTATGTTCTAACTGACCCATCTTACCCCATGATTAATTTTGCCACACCTTACCCTAATATTTTTTTACCACCGTACATCAGAGGCAACCTAGACCACAAGAATGCATGTAAATCCAAAAGTTTCTGCGAACAAATGGAACGACCAATGTATCGTACATGAAGCACAAAAATAACTTATACGTACAAAACTGTCGTGTGACAACTAAGTTACGTATACGCCACTATTGCCTATATTCAGTTAAAAAACCAACTTATTTTTGGGAACATACCAATTGAAAACTTAAGAATGGTATGCCAGCATGATTGATTTCAGAAACGCCTTTTTAATAGAAACTAAGCGATCAATTCAACCTCTGGTGGTGAATATGAGAACGTCAAAAAGAGTGTTGTGAGCAGAATTTTTTGCCGTCAGACATTGGAAGCGGAATTTTTTTCACTTTTCCTGATAAATTGATTCATCTGAGATGCTCGAAAACTTGATCAATGGTTGAAAAATTTAATTCTGTATCATTTTTGCAAGAATTCTGCTAGTGCTCAGGAATATTTTTGTTGAAAAAAATGCAAAATTCAAATAGTGCCTTAGTGGTTATGATCTTCCGGATTGCTTGTGTATGAATAATTTAGGTGCAAATCAGTTCAGATGTGTGGAAAATCGTAAAATAAGACAATTACTGATGAAAATTGGCAAGATGTTCTATGAAAAATGCTTTGATTTGTGTTGTGAAAAATCCTTCTTCTGATGTAAACAAACGGTTTGGTTGACGTTTCCTCTCGAACTGGCGTGGTGCCCTCTACGTTGGTGGTGCATATAAAAGGCCTATAGCCATGTTGAAGTTGTGAAATCAAAACTGGTTGACCCATACTTGCAGTCGTCTTACGGAGAATTTCAGCTCTTAATTACTATTTTCGTTTGAAACTTATTGTAAACTTTTAAATATGACTTTTGAAGTAGCCGGCGCCGGTGGTGCAGTGGTAAGCGTGACTGCTTTCTCACACCCCGATGGGTCTGGGTTCAATCCCAGCCGAGGTCAGTGGGATTTTTCCGAGGCATAAAAATCTCTATTCACGTCTTAATTCGGAAGGGAAGTAAAGCCGTTGGTCCCGGCCCATGTGTATGGGTGCGATATCCTACGCAGGTGTGGAAGCTGCCTTCCTGCACATTCGATTGCCTTCAATGGATGGCAATCGATGTCCGTCGGTGATTGGCACTAGATTGCGGAACAGAGACCGACGTTAAATAAAGGAATAAAAATGACTTTTAAAGCAGACATGATTTCCTATCCTTCCAATCAATAGCTGTGAATATAGTCTCTTACAAAAGCTACAAGAAGTAAAATAGTTAAACACTTTGTGAGCCGATAACGTGACATAAATCGAAGACAACAAATCAAGAAGACTGGCAACTCTTCCATTTTCTCATACGAACGCTATGAGACAGGTATAATCCCGCCATCTGCCGCTCAAAGGTAAATGATTTGAACGAATTTGATAGCAAAGATTACATCCTCAGAAGAAAGGTTTGTGTATTTGCTCATTTCTCTATGCGTTGCTTCCACCTTCACTCAAGTGCAGCGCTATTGTATCTGTCGCATGGATTCTGGCAAAGTTGCCATTCTTCTTGATATGATGTCTAAATATAGTATTTTCTAGACTAAAACTCTGTTTTATGAATTTTAACAACAAATAAAGAATTCAATATGGTCGAATTTAAGCACAAACTTTAAATACTACCCATAACAATAATGGTTTGCAAAACTGGCGTTACATATTTATTGGGTCAATTATGTTGTTGACATTCTAAGTGATTCTATTGATATTGTTGAGTTTTTCAGAAGTTATCCCTTGGATAATCTGCTTAAATTCACGTGGAAAAATTAGTCTAGTTTGAAACAATGAAAATATGGTTGCCATCCAAACTGAAAAATTTCCTCATTCTAAGCAATGTTGCTGATTGATGAGCGAAGCCGCGATTTGAAACCGACAATAATCTCCACGGAAGAGAACTATACAAACCAAAACTGTCTCTGTCCATCAGTCACCTTCCGCTTCAAGAGAAGAGCGAAAGAGTGCCCTTTACGTTTACGCCTTTATCCGTTCATTCTATGAAATGCACAAATCCAAGCCGATACCGAGGAAACTCGGGCACTGAGTGAGTGCCGCTCGAGTTTCAGGTGGCTTGAATCACTGATTGACTGAGTCAATGGTTGAGCAAGATTTTACTGGTTATTATGTACGGATACGGAGACACGACAAAGAGAGAGAAAGAGAGTTTTTTTTCTCTCTGCCTGCCGCAGTCCGCGTTCTGTTTCATTGGTGAAGCTTATTGTTTTTATTCTTACTGATGCAGATTTTGCTGTCTTCACCCACTAAGCAATGCTCACCTAAATTTTGCTGCGGGGAGGCGAAATATTTTGCAACAAATGGACGGTTTTGCGCTACCGAGGCATCTTGAGGGCAGTGAGGGAAAAATGGACACTTTCTGTTTTAATCCAAAAAATAGTGTCGCCTAAATTAAATGTACTAAATGTGCTTTAGCTCACGAAGTGCTTTGTTTTTGATTTATGAAATGTTGCCCACATGCAGAGTTTATAGTCACCGGAATTATTTATATGTCAAGATGCAAATCAGGGTTAGAGATTGTTTTTGGATTTATAAACAATAATAACTATATAGGTGCTCTTCATTAACTACATGGACTGTTTTGGGGTTTCTACACAGTTTAATGTTTTTAGTGCATATTTTTATTGGAAATTGTTTTTTTTTTTTTTTTTTTTTTCTTTATTTTAGAGATTTTTAGCCTGAGGCTAGTTCATCTCTTTATTGGAAATTGTATGAACTGTGGACATTTGCCATATCTCTTGTCCCATAGATAACTACAGTAGTCTGGGGGAAAATTGATCACCGGGGTGAAATTGATCACTATGGGATGTGTTTTTGGTTAGCTTATAGCATATTTTTGGTGGTTGATATCAAGTCAATTTTGATAGCATTTTATCGTGAGACTCCAATAACTGCTTTGACGAGTTTTTCAAAACAAACATATTTTTCTGCATAAATTTCAGATTTATTGAAAAGATGTTAAAAATCATCAAATTTCATCACTCAAACAAGTAGTCCTAGTACAATAGAAATTGATGCCATAAACTTGAATGCGGTATTGTTTGTTAAAGAAAAAGTCTATGAATCAGAGTTATGAAAAACTCCTACGCCGCACTTATATGGTGGCCGAAAACTAAGCAACAAACGGCACAAGTCAAACTAAACAAGCTACAAAGGCTTGTTACTATTTCCATAACTGGAGCAAGGCGTAGTACTCCCTCTACAGCCTTAGATGCTTTACTCAATATCCTTCCTCTTCATCAATATATTCAACTGGATGCAGTGAAAAGTGCTCTAAGGCTCAAACGGTCCATGAATTTCTTCGATGGAGATCTTATTGGACATTTGAGCATTCTAAAAGAGTTTCAGATAAGTCCATTAATATTGATAAGATTGTATGCTAAAGCGACATTATTTCAACCATAATTTCCAAGTTCCTGATGTGACTCGCGTTGACTGGGATGCAGGAAGACTGAATATTAGAAACAAGATAATATGGTCGGGGCTGGTATTACCGGCCCTGGGGTTAACTTCTCGGTGTCCATGGGAAAATGGGATAGTATTTCAAGCTGAAATATATGCCATCTTAGAATGTGCAACGATTTGCATAAAAAGGTAAAAATGCGAATACCGGCCCGAGCGAGCTATATTGCAAAGGTAGTTTTTCATGACAAAAAAGGTAGAAGATTATATGTTTTCCATTTCTGACATAGGGTTATTGTGTTGATCGCTTGTCATTTTGTCATTTTGAGATATTTTTGATTCCTTGATTAGGATGCTTTGTTGATTGTTGATTAACTCTTAACCGCTTGTAATTCTTATGAATATTTTAGGTGGCCAAAAAGCTGAACTAAGAGGCAAACGCCTAAGCTATTTCACATTTACATCGCTGTGATGCAACTGTAAACTTTAGAGGGAGTTTATATCTGTAACTGTTACCAGCTGTATTTTGTTTGCATATCTGGTTAAAATGTTATATTTAATTATCTTAAAAAAAATCGTCCTGCTCAAAGCTTTGTAGAAGTAAGAGGGGGACCATCATCATCATTTTTTAAGTTAAATTATAATAAAAAAAAAACAAATTGAAATAAAATCGTTTGAACAACTAGCTTGCTCATAATGTGTCCAATTCACGATTGTTAATCGATAACCGCCGATAACGTCTGCAATAGTATTAGCATTGCTGTAATGCAAACCTTATCGACAGTTATTGATTAACAACCCTGGTCCAATTACTTTCATAACGAACAATTTCGAATCATCACACACCTTTTTCTACACGACGCATTGTAAAAAGATTCGAATAAATAGGCATTAAAATGTTTCAAAAATCGAAATAAGATATTAGGGGAAAACAGTCCAAAATGCACCCCGGGGGAAAATGTCCGATGCGATTATGCATAGCATTCCCGTTTTTAATTCTTAAATTGTACAAGCCACAATGATAGTTTTGTACTTAAACTAGCATTTCGGCACAACAATCCCAGACTTAAGAGGGGAATAGCTATGAAAAACCACATTGTACGTTTTTCCTGCGGTGCATTTGTCCCCTGTTCTACCCTGCAGCTTGCTTACGAAGCATTGAAGTCATTTGAATACGCTGAACCGGAGCGAGCGATCTTGCTAGCTCTGTACCAAAGACTTCAACGCACCGGAAACGGCGAACCGCAGACTAGGAATAATTAAATATTTTCTCCACCAGCATCAACTGATAACCGGAGTGCTCCGATGGCGAGCCAACTCGTCGCCCGACCACGTGCTGTACACCTTGCTAAACTCCAAGGGTGCTGTGGCGAAGACCCTCACCTGCTCCGAGCTGCACAAGCGTGCCGAGAAGATAGCTGCTCTGCTTCAGGAACGCGGCAAAGTCAATCCAGGCGACCATGTTGCGCTCATTTTCCCACCGGGTCTGGATTTGATTTGTGCTTTCTACGGATGCCTGTACCTGGGAGCGATTCCGGTTACGATACGGCCACCTCATCCTCAGAACCTCATTACAACCCTACCCACCGTGCGGATGATTGTGGACGTGTCCAAGAGTGGCATAATCCTTTCCATCCAAAGCATCATCAAACTGCTCAAATCTCGTGAAGCTGCCACCTCCATCGATCCAAAGAGTTGGCCGGTGATCTTGGACATTGAAGATAACCCCAAGCGGAAGCTAGCTGGTATGTATAGTTGATTTGTGGTGTCATCGAAGAGTTAACGACTTTTTGATTTCAGCTATCGCCAACAGTACGCTGGATTCGACTGCTTATCTGGATTTTAGTGTTTCCACTTGCGGACGGCTTAGTGGAGTCATCATTACGCATCGGTATGTCAAATTAGAATGTTTCTTTTTGTAACAAATCGTTTGTCAATGGAAAATGGTTTTGTTTATTCTAGATCTCTATCGAGTTTATGTGCCAGCTTGAAGTTAGCCTGTGAATTGTATCCTAGTCGCCACGTGGCTCTCTGTTTGGACCCATACTGTGGATTGGGTTTCTCAATGTGGACCCTGATCAGCGTCTATAGCGGCCACCATTCAATTCTGATAGCACCATACGAAGTGAGTGTCCCTTGCAAATGTAGTTTTGTTTCCCGGTTTAACCCCATTTTCACTTTCAGGTCGAAGCAAATCCCAGCTTATGGCTGAGTACGCTATCACAGTATCGTGTTCGTGATACTTTCTGTTCATACGGTGTGATAGAGCTGTGTACGAAAGCGCTCAGCAATTCTATTCAAATGCTCAAGCAACGTAACATCAATCTCGGTTGTGTACGAACATGTGTGGTGGTTGCAGAAGAACGGCCTCGGGTTCAACTGACGCAGCAATTCTGCAAGCTATTCCAAGCACTGGGACTCAACATGCGCTGTGTGTCGACTTCGTTTGGTTGTCGCGTAAACCCGGCCATCTGTGTGCAAGGAGCCAGCTCGGCAGAAAGTGCCCAAGTGTATGTGGATCTCCGAGCGCTACGAAACAATCGGGTAGCACTGGTCGAAAGAGGTGCTCCGAACTCGCTTTGTTTGGTTGAATCTGGCAAACTGCTACCGGGCGTAAAGGTTATCATCGCTAATCCGGATAGTAAAGGCCAGTGCGGCGATTCTCATTTGGGTGAAATATGGGTATGTATACTACCTGATTAATTGAATTAATTCATGTTTCTTAGTAAAATTTTCGAATAATTTAACAGGTACAATCACCTCATAACTCAAACGGCTACTTCACCATCTATGGCGATGAGACCGATTATAATGACCATTTCAATGCCAAATTGGTCACCGGGTGTAGCATCAGCGAAACGTGGGCCCGAACGGGTTACCTGGGATTCCTGCGGCGGACGGAGTGTTCGCAGGCTGGTTCTATTTTGGACGAAACGACACCCAGCATCGCAAGTCGGGACTCGGATAATGAATCGATTCACTCACAGGTAAGTGTTGTTGTTTTCATTTGTTAATTATCTCATACATACGTATCCAGGAGGTGTTCCAGTGGTGTATAGGGATAACGCGACGGATTTCTGACCGACTGTTTATTTAGGGGTCATCCACAAATTATGTAAGGGTTTTTGAACGTATGACACTGTAAAATTTTAAGTAATCTCCCCTTCCCCTAGAGTCTTAGTAAGATTTCAGAATATTTAAAAAAAATCGTTCAATATTGAGTTTAGATATATTTTTTTTTCGACCGACTCCGACGCTGGCTCTTCTGATTTGAAAATAACCGACTCCGGCTCCAAATTAAACAAAATGTAATACATACAAACTTACTTACTTTTTATTTTTTTTTTAAGAAAAAAATAAAGAAAATATTTATATATGGGTTATGACGAGTTCGGCATATTTCAGAGCAACGAAAAAAAAAACTGAACCTAATCCCTGACGATAAAGAAGTGCCAATTGTCAATGGTTCAATTTACTTTGATGCATTTTCGAAAAATTAAAATGCAGTTTTATTCGACGCATCATTTCAGATTGCAAAAAGCTCGCGTCATTTTATGTATAATAGCAAAAAGGGTAGAATGACGCGAGCTTTTGGCAATCTGTAATGGTGCGTCGAAAAAAACTGCATTTGAATTTTTCGAAAATGCATTAAAGTAAATTGAACCTTAAACTGGTAATTTTATACGATGGATGAGGAGATGAAAGTATAGAGTTGATAGTTCCGTTAGAGTACGGCAGTGTGCTTATGGGAGCTTACCATCAATGCAGTACATCCCCTACCCGTGTCTGAGATCGTTAAGTTAACGATGACAGGAGCACATACAGTGGTAGAGGCACCAATAGCTGCATTTTTTTTCCAAACCTATCGACTAGATGCTTATGTCAGATGACGACTTGAGTGTGAAACAATCAATAGAACTGTTTCCAGGTACATTAGCAAATCGGCGATCATCTCTTTTGCCACACTAGCGGAGCAAAATTAATAACTCCGAAACGACGCATTTACCCGACTTGGTGTCTTCGGCAAAGTTTCTCATCATAATAAGGACCATCTATTAACATAAACAAATAGTTAAAAACACAAAGATGGCGCCACAATCTTACTTCTTTCTCTGACGTTTTGGAGGCTTGTTGTCTTGGGCAAAGTTGTTTATCTTGACAAAATAAACAACTCTTTTGAAGACGTAAAATTTCCACAGCCTACTGGAGTTAAAGAAAAAATGTCGAAAATATAATGTTATATTTTTCTCTTATGCTTCTTCTTCTTCTTCTTCTTCTTCGCATTTCAAGCTTATTGCGTATGGCATTATTAGCTTATTGCGTGCTCTCAACTTAGTGTTCTAGATGCACTTCCACAGTTATTAATTGAGAGTTTTCGATGCCTGTACCATTTTTGCATCACAGCAAAAAAAAATGTAATATCGATCAACGTAATTCAAGCTGATGTATGAAATAATGATGTAATAGCAAACAGCAGATACAATATTACATCAATGGATGTAATTTTGTTCGCAAAATCGATGTACATCGTACAATGTGATATTACACAACCGATGGATTGACCTGGTTGCATCAGTTTCGATGTAATATTCAACAACTTTTTTTGCTGTGATTAGTATAATTGTGTGGCAGGTACAATCATACTCTATGCCCAGGGAAGTCGAGAAATTTTCCAACCCGAAAAATTCCTAGACCGGACCGGGAATCGAACCCAGCCACCTCCAGCATGGTCTTGCTTTGTAGCTGCGCCTTTACCGACTGAGCTAAAGGAGGTCCCCCCTCTTATGCAAATGCATTAAATTAATAACTTTTGTAAAAAAAGCGTCAAATTTTGAAGATATTGTTGAAAAAAAACGAAAAAACTACGATTTTTTGAACTTTAATGTCTCCCAAAACGCATAAAATCTCAACCTGACATTTTCAGCAAAAAATAAGCAATACTCGATAAACAAAATATCAAAATATGAATGGTGCACAGCGGAAACACCGGTCCCGTGACACCAAGCTCCTTAGCTATAGAATTCTCCAGCAACGTTGAATCTGATCCCCCATCGAGAAAGGCGAACGTGTTAAAGGTTTTCCCGTTAGCGTGAAGTGAAACCGGAATGATGCGGAACAGTATCCTCTGAGGTTGATGTTGATGAACCGTCACTACGCCTTGTTGTTGTAGCTGACCATCTGAAATTTTCTCCATCTTGTGGATTCCCCGGATGTAGGAACCTTTGATGATGTTCTTGGCAACCGTCGGCTCCGCATACTGGAGCCTTGCACAGCCACTTACCGTGCGGATATAATACCGTTTGCATAAATGTGCTTCCTAAACTGCCTTCCAACGATCATCGAGTTTCTTCACCTTGAAGGTGGGACATTCCTTAGGCTTATGTCCAGGGGTTAGACATACTGCACATGGCCGTGCATTAGGAAACGTTGGTGCTTGAGATTCACCCAGTTTGTCACCGCTGTTGTTGTTTTTCTCGGTACATTCCGAGAATCCACTGCTGACACTGCTAGCGGCGTTGATGAACGTGTTCATATAGTAAGCACAGGCGCGTTAATCCTCTACCAATACAGATTGCTTGTGCATTGCCCATCCCAATTTGATATTGGCTGGCAACTTCTCCACAAGCTCTAGCAGAAGTATAGGATTAGCCAAATGCATCTCTTGTCCAGCTGACACCAAATGAGCACAAAGGTTGCGAACTATCATTCCGAAATTTACTAGAGCCTCTAGCTTCTCTGGTTTCGGTGTATGAGTGCTGCGAACTTCATTAAGCAGCATACCAATGATAGCATCTGGTCGGCTATACAGCATACGAAGGGTTGATACAATCTCGCCAACGTTCGATGGATGTAACAAAAAACTGCTAACCGTCTTGAATCGCCTTTCAGACAGTGCTGCAGTCTCAGACGATTTTCGGCATCCGGGTACCCACACATTTGCGTCGAGGTTTAGAAATTACTCCGGAATAATGGCCACTCCACAGGGCTTCCGTCAAACGATGGAAAATCCTTTGGAACCACATTACGTGCAGCTAATTGGTGAGCGTCTGGTCCTCTGAATGTCTCTTGAGGAGATGAATGATCCGTGTTAGGGAGGTTAGTTACTCTGGAATTGTTCACCGCCATACGAGTACCCGTACCCAGGTACCGAGAATTTCGATTCTGTCCCCAATTCCCATCCAAATATGACAGAGGCAAAGGATTTGAATAACTTGCTTGCTGTGCCACAGACGATGGTGGTATATAATGGTTAACGGAGACCCAAGGATTTTGTACAAAATTTTGATTTGCTTCTCGCAGGTCATGCACGTAACATCGATTACTTACCGCCGTCGTTGAGGGAGTATAATGACCCACTACAGGATTGACGGTCACGTTTTAGCCGTTTTACATACCCAGACTGATGGTTGCATTCCCTAGATGATCGGCTGCGTCATATTAACCACACGTCTTGCTCCTAGATGCTCCTCAAGCGGTATGCTTCTTGGCGTTGAATGGTAAGATGGTGGTGGTATAAAATACGAAGACTGTTTCCAAACCGACTGAGCTGCACCTGACTGCGCATACACCGGTACTGAAGTTGATGATACCATGGTCATGTGTGATGGTATTGACCAAGCTGACGATGCCGATACCTGTGATTGTAGTGGCTGGTATAAGGTAGACGATAGGTACTGCGTATACAATGAAAAAGAGCCCATCGGTGGCAATGAAGGCAACGGGTACGAAACAGATGCCGTCATTGTTGGTGAAATCACGAACATATTACTGACATTCATTGTTGTCGGCAGATTCACGTTCTGCAAAGCACTCACCAACGGGGTTGTTATTGGTCTGCTTTGGTACCACTGTATCACTGTTGTTCATATTGGTGGAGCTGGCACCGGTTGCTGAACGGACAAAGGTTTCTGTACTGTTGGTATAGGTAGTGGTTGTAGCTGGACAGTCAATGGTGGTTGTACAATCACTTGGTGTATTGTTGTCGACACGGAAGATGTCGACGGTGCAATTGAAGAACTGCCCGTCACGAACGAAGGAATCTCACTGACCCTCATTGCGGTTACTATTGTTGATTGCACTACACTTGCTCCAGCAACTGCGGTAGCCGCCGTCGAGGTAATCTGGATTAAGCTTACTGTAGTTTCCGTTGGTAACGTGAGCCCAGTGGGAATACTACCAGTATTGGCGCTCAGGGTCACTGCCGGGAACCGATTAATCCAATCCTCTACCTTGCGCGTACTTTGATGGCAATCTCTGCGGCTGCGAACACTTATCGCATCTCCATCAGCATCTAGCTAAGCGTGGAGGAGATTGTACTTCCTCTTGATGTACTCCTTTTCCAATGCGAACATAGCCACAATCGCTTTTTCCCATCTCTTGCATTACTTGGTCCTGCTTTTCCCGTTCTTCCTGCATTTTTCTGTAGCCGTTTCTCCTCTACCAAGCATTGCATTTCAAGTTGCAACCTTGCTTCTCGAGCGCTGGTGGACGTCGACGCTACGGAATCGGCCGAGTTAGGGAGAGCGCATGCCGTGCTCATGAAGCTTCGATTCTCATCTCATCGTTGATACCGGCACACATGAAATGGTACCAGCGTTCGCATCCGTCACACTGGACCATTTTCCGATCCGCATCATCCGGCTGGTGACATATAATGCAGTGAGGCTGGGATGAGTCAGCATTACTTACTGGCACGGGACCTGGTTCTTGCATGGTTATGTTCTTCGAAACCTTTCGATGCACAAAATGTAACTTTAGAAGTAAAATTGTATTCGTTGAGTCTTTTGTCAATTATTTGTTTCAATGTGTTTATTTTAAAGCAAAGTATACTTACAATTACAGTTATAATTAACAAATTTATAGTCCAACTTTTACCAATTATTAACTGGTTGTATGTTCTGTGTTGATCGTTATAATGATATAACAATGATAAACGAAATTGATAATTGACAACTCACTTGACGTTGTCCGGTGACATTATCAATCAAGCGTTAGTTCTAAAGGCTATCGTCAGCGTTTGCTGTTGACGGGGGTTCTGGTACCGTTGCGCACAATACTGGTCGATGTGTTACGGTCGCATCGGAATATGGATACTCGAACTTTCTGCGCTGTCAATATCAGATCTAAGCCAAGTTTTAGTGAACAGAAGAGGAGAACATCGTAATCACAGCTCGATAAAACCAAGCGAAGACGGGATATTTTGTTACGCAGGCCTCTAACATTCTGCTAGTATACCGAAAATAAGCGTTCAGGGGACATGCCATTTGAAGTGCTCTCCACTGGTAAGGTAGAACTGTTTGAAACGTGTGCATACTTGCCTGCGATGGCGGCTTGAAATACCCCTTCCCCGCACTCATACACAGAACCTGCATGGCTAGCAGCAATGACTCGACTGTGACGAGGGGTTTAGGGGCTTCCATGAAGCTTGCAGGCGTGCAAGTGCCCGGTGGCTCGACGAACACTGATGAAATAGTTGATGAGTGGTTGCTTCGAAAGAGGTTGACGTTGGATCGCCCCCAACTCCCGAACTGAACACAGGGCCAGGACGACATTGACGTTGACAGGTGATCTCACGATGCAGGGAATTAGGGGCTTCCTTAGTGTCTGATACGGTGCGTCCTGGGATGAGAGAGTGACGATGTGGGTCTGTTTTTTTTTTGTTAGGTTCGAACAAGCGGACAGTTATCCCATCAGGCCAATACCACGGATCACCGACCACCGTCCGATGCCGATTTGGGTACAGTCACTTTGAAAGAGACGAATTGAAGATCGTCCAGACTCTTTCCGCGTGGGACTAGCTTGGTGACTTTCAGTTGAGTCAGATCAACATTGGTGATGTCGTGAAGATGTTGTATTAACTCGATCTGATTCTGGTCGGGTGCGAAGGGGGTCACGTACTTTCTTCTGTTTCTTGAACGTCTGTAGACAGTTTCTTGCATTGGCATGATGGACGTTGCTCGCCGATGTTCTCAGTTAAATATCGAACAGAGGCACTCTTCTATTAGAAAATAATTCCAGCCCAGTTTCCGGTCGACAGGTTCCTGTTTTCGGCAGATTTCGGTGTGTCTTGAAAAGGTAATCTCCTGATCAGACTTTCGGATGGTGGTTGGGCTGCTTTGATACTTACTTCCTCCACTTTCGCTAATTCCTGAAGGACATTTTAGGCATGAAGCACCATTTGTGCAAGAATGTTTTGCGCTCTTTTGGGAAAATGTGTCGGATTTTGATGGTTCCGCGAAAAAAAAATTGCCTACGTAGTTCAGTAGACAGCTCTGCTATCGATAGTCGCTAAGAGTACTGAAGCGGTGATATCCGTTGATCCTAATTAAAAATCCACTCTCATTTTCTTGTTTATAGGGTCACAATACATTGAACTCCACGACGAGCTCGAATGCGGCCAACACCACGATCCCAGCAACTGGAAACGAACAGGAACTGCACGACGCGGTTTACATCGTGGGTGCTCTGGACGAGGTCATCACGCTTCGTGGCATGTACTACCATCCGATCGACATCGAAAACTCGGTCCTGCGATGCCACAAGAAGATTGCCGAATGTGCGGTATTCACATGGACCAATCTACTGGTGGTAGTTGTTGAACTCGATGGAAACGAATCGGAAGCACTGGACCTGGTTCCACTGGTGACCAATACGGTGCTAGAGGAACATCAGCTGATCGTCGGCGTGGTGGTTGTAGTTGATCCAGGTAAGCAGCAAGGCTTTGCACTTGTTCTAGAGCTCAGTTGTTGACACTGCAATTTCCTTGTTCTTCTCTAGGAGTTGTGCCGATCAACAGCAGAGGCGAAAAGCAGCGGATGCATTTGCGAGATGGCTTCTTAGCCGACCAGCTGGACCCCATATACGTTGCCTACAACATGTAAAGAACTAACTGGCTGACTAAACGTGATTCGTGCCTCTTATATGTTAGACTTTTTAAACGATGCTTTCCCAAGCATTGGCAGCAACAGGTGATATTTGAAAAAAAGATACAAACAAAAAGAGGATAAACCCAACGCACATCACACACACACACACAAACACACACACGTCAACGTTGTCTGATATAATAAATACGGATCGAACACGGGAAAACGAATGCTCAGCTATGGACGGTCGGCGCAATGGAAACAGTTTATGCTACCAAATTTCCTTCCAGCAGGAATTTTCTACATAACTTTATTCTGTAAATATTTTGTACATCAATTGGACATGTGAAATTGGTTTTCTCGAACATATGCTAATGAAAGGTACTAGTTCTCAATCGATTCTTAGGGTTGGACTTTAGAATGAGCTTAGTTGAAATAGGTCTTTGTTATAAACGACAAACTGATGAAAACATATGCTTGCTGAAAAAAAAAACTGTAGAGATTGTACATTTGTTTCTTTTGCACAAAATTTTAATTGGATCTACTTAACGGTCATTTTCAGTATTGATGTTTTTGTTAGTCTTTTTGAGAAAAATAAAGTTTTGCTTTGCGTACCTTTAAAACTAGGGCAAGCAATAAATTATTAATGGCATGTTGTTTATTTTAACTTCGTAATCTAGTCTCTTTTAATTTGGTTATTTTTTGTAATTGTTTTATCGCAACTGGTTCTGCCACAACTGGTTCAGGCAAAACAAACGTTAAATTGATTTTATTTTGTGATTTATTCGTAAATTTTAGTTCTTTAGCCTGGATCTCTGTTCCTTACAATCAATGCTAAACTTATCATCCATCATCTTAATCGTCGTCATTACCCTGAACACGTGCACAGATATGTACTCAAGTCATGTCCGTCTCAATCTTCCAACTTTCATCCAAACTCATCAACTCTTTAGAACACTACGCTACTAAACTAGCAATTAGTAAGGATTAACAGTCGTATTGTTTAGACAAGGATATACACAATCTTTCATCTGGTTATCATTCAACTGATAAGAAAAAAGAAATCAATTCAATTTTTTTGTAAATTTAAAATAATGGAATCAGTAAAAGTTGAAAAAATAATTTTAAGATGAGCTTGATTCTAAGCCACGAACTGCTCTATCTATCGAAGAATGTGAAAAATATACATAGGACAAAAAACACAGCAAGTCAAGTTGAGAAAAAGGAATTAGAATAATTAGTTGATTATAAACTTCATAATATTTCGCGATTCTTCTCTCTGTAACCTATATATTCACATAAGCAAGTTAAAAACAAGTCACATGAAACTAGAATTACTCCAAAATACTACAAGCAGAAAAGGCCAACAAAACATACGTGGAAAATTATGAGGATTAAATAGCAGCACTAGAGTGGAGATCACATACTAACGGAAATCGAATGAAGTAAAACAAACAAAAAACGAATAAACTACGGAATAGAGGTTTTGATCATTTTCTAAAAATTGGCATACCGTAAATCTGAAACCCACGATACACGGTCAGTATATAAACTGGACACCTATTGACAAATTTTACAATGTAAGCAAGATAAGAAGCAGTTTAGGCAGTAAAACAATTGGTAAAATGCTAACTAATTCCTTTGTATTTCTCTTAGTGAAAGGCGAATATTTCAAGTAAATATTTAATTTAGGAAATAAATGTATTTAGAAAAAATAACACAGTTGTATTGGAACATCCGAAACCCCTGTTGCCTTTCATTTTTATTTATTGTTCTTATTATTATTATTATTATTAAAGTCCATCTGACTTGATAGTCTCAATGAAACACTTAAATCTAAATGTAGTCACTCATTAAAAATTAAAAATTGGTCAACAGCAAACGATGACGAAACATCGAGGCATTGATGTCAAAGTCAAATAGGTCAGAGGCTTCGTTGAATTGATGAATCATGGCGACAAAGGAACTGTTTGCAGCATAGTTGGTTGCATGTACTACTTCATGTAGCAAGGTTCTCGGACGGAGTGTTCGGGCAGGAGCATACAGATTAATTTTGGCCAGTAACTCAGGAACATCATATTCTGCGAGTAAAACTTTAGCAACGAAGACGACCTGCGATATGTTTCGTCGCTTAGCAAGAGTATCCAAACCCAGTAAACGACAGCGGTCAGCATACGGTGGTAAATTCAGCGGGTCACTCCATGGAAGATAGCGCAGTGCGTATCTGACGAATTTGCGTTGAACAGCTTCGAATCGTCCACTCCATACAGCTTGGTAGGGATTCCAGACTACACTCGCGAATTCCAGTAGTGAGCGTACCAATGAACAGTAAAGGGCTTTAAAACACAGAGGATCACGAAATTCCTTAGATATCTTGAACATGAATCCAAGCTGTCGATTAGCTTTGTCGATTGTGGTTGAGAAGTGGCGAGTGTATGTGAGCTTTTCATCCAACATGACACCGAGGTCTTTAACGTGATCGACACGTTGAACTGCAGTTCCAGCAATGTTATAATCAAACAAAATGGCAGTCCTAGTTCGATGGAAACTAATTACGCAGCACTTTGAGACGCACAGGACCATAAAATTACGTTCACACCAATCATTAAAGATTTCAAGAAGGTTTTGTAGTTCTAAACAGTCGGCATAGCCTCGAACGACTAGATAAATCTTCAAGTCATCGGCAAAAAACAATTTACCTCCTCGTAGTAGAATAAACGTTACATCGTTCACAAATAAAGAGAAGAGGATTGGTCCCAAAGTGCTACCCTGTGGAACTCCTGATCTGTTCGAGAAACAGTACGATGAGTAGTTTCCAATGCATACAGTAACTTCACGTTGCACGAGGTACGATCTAAGCCAGCTGCAGAAGGAAACAGAACATCCAATTTTTTCAAGCTTTGCTAGCAGAACGTCGTGCACAACTCTATCAAACGCAGCTTTAAGATCAGTGTAGATGGCATCCACTTGAAGTTTCTTGCATACATTTTCCATACAGAACGACGTAAAGCTGACGAGATTAGTTTCCACGGAGCGACCAGGAAAGAAACCATGTTGACATGTACTTATGTAATGCTTGCAGGAAGCAAACAATCTCTCATTTATCAGCGACTCAAACACCTTAGATTCAACCCCAAGCGAGGTAATCCCACGGTAGTTTTCCACATTGCGTTTGTCTCCTTTCTTGAAAACAGGGAACATAGTAGACCGTTTCCATAGTGCGGCAAATTTCTGTTGACGAAGTGACAGGTTGAAGAGCAAGGACAACGGAGCAGCTAAGATATCGGAGCATTTTTTAGGACTGCAGATGGAATAACACTCGGACCTGGTGAAAATGATGATTTGGTTTTACTCATCACAGAGAGAACCATTTGTACATCTACGGCAAAAACATCCATGTTTACGACGTCGGTTGGCACATCACGGACGGCTTGCTCAATTTCTGCTTGCGATGGGGAGTCATTCGAGAAGACGCTTAAGAAGTGCCTAGCAAATAGGCTGCATTTGTCCTCAGTTGTCAATGCTACGTCAACGACCAGAATCCCTTGGGGTGGCATTGCAGATTATGTTGAGTAGTGGAGGCGAACCAGCCTAAGGCTGAAAGCCTCCTAAATAAAGCTAAATTAATTAATTAATTAATTATGTTGAGTACGAATTACATACCTCTTGTAAAGAAGCTTGTTGTAGTGGCGATAATCATTGCTGGCAATTGAAAAATTTCGCTTGGTAAGGGTACATCGTCGATGAGTGAGAGCACGGAGAGCTCTAGATCGCACTCGTTTCAGGTTGCGGAGAGTAGCGTTAGACCAAGGCGGTTTTCTTGGAGGTTGGCACTTCGGTACTGAAGCACAAACACAGTCGCGCAAAAGGCTATTATATCGAGCGGCTGTTGTATCGATATCAAGGTCATTCAACACGTTCCAGTTGATCCGGGACAAGGAACGTCTCAGCAAACGGAAATCGGTCTTCCGGAAATTGAGCCGAGTGGCAGTCATGGTTTCATCAAAACGAATTTGAGATCCGTTCGCGATAGATATATCCAAAGCAGGGTGGAAATTGTCAAGAGGAACGATGACATCAGGCGCTTCAACGACGACACAGTCCAGAAGTGCACTTTCCCTAACAAAAACCAAGTCGAGAAAACGAGACTGGAAATTGGGAACAAGGTTTATCTGGCTCAGTCCATGAAAAGCCGTGCCGTCAACAAGCAAGCGGCTGGCAGGAGTAGTTGAAGATGCAATCGGATCTGGAAACGCATAACCCTGGCCTGAGGGTGACCAGCTAAGCCCAGGCTGATTAAAATCACCAAGCAGAAGAAGCACATCCGTTATATGAGCCATGGACGATGCAAATTCTGTAGCATCCAGATGAAGCTGCATTGTGGTGCAGTCATGTCGACGTTCAGGGGGAATATACACCGCTCCAATGAGGATGTCCCGCGAAGTGAGGCTGACCTTAACCCAAACCGCTTCAATTGTAGTAAATAGTTCGTTGGAGATTACGCAGGAGGCGAATTCGTTGGAAACAGCGATGAGCACACCACCACCACGAGTACGAATGCTGTTGGATGAATTACGGTCTAATCTGTAGACAGTAAAAGAGTCACCAAACAGTTGCACTGAATTGATCCTCCCATCGAGCCAAGTTTCCGTGAATACATAAACGTCATAGATGTACCAGTAGAATACCGTCAGAACTTGTTAGCTCTTCGCTACACTAACTATGTTGTATTAACTGGTAAGCATCCACGACTCTCGCTCTCACGAGTTCAAATCTCATCCCGCGACATATTTTTTTTTCCGTTTTATACTCACTTAACTGACAAAACTACAAGGCTGCAAACAGTCGTCGATACATGTTGACATGATTGATTCTCCGTAATGCAATGATCAATTGTTATGATTCAGCCACCATTCGAAAAGTATGGATATCTACTTTCATTTGGACTAGGTAAAAATCCAATTGCATCTGTGGTTGGCCAGACGAAATGGAAAACCCCGGAAGAGTCCCGAGTCCCGAGCAAAATGTGTGTCGATTTATGTTGACTGGTTCTCGGCAATTTGGTTACCAAATTTTAAGATTGAGCCACTTTTTGGAAGGTATGACCACAGACTCCCGAATATGCCCTTGATTCAGAAAACATCGGGCCTGATTAAATCGAAGATGCTTCTGAATCCAATAAATGGATGAAACGTGGACATCACGTACCGTACGTTCCGATTCTGGTAATTATATGATTAGTTGGTCGTTGGAAGCATCAAAGCTAGAAAGGTTAAGTGATGCTCCATTTTCTTCTGACGGTTGGGGCATGAGCACTAACTCTTGTCCTAGCCTTTTATGACTTATGGCTATAGCGCCATTACTCGCTTTCTGAAAAGAGAAGAGGGAAAGGATAAGGAGAAGGACAAAGGGGAAAGGATTATGTAAAATCTATGATCATAAACAATATTTTTGATTTGAAATATACAATATAGAAATGCATAACGGCGGTGGTCACTAACCGAGTCTTGTCTCTATCAACAAGTCATAAAAAGTCACAAGAACTAAAATGTGATCCTTTGATAACTGGAAAATCCTGATTCCCTAGATTGAAGTTGTCACGACTAGGGTTCGATGGTAGATCTTATACGCTACTGGTTTGAAAAGATAAAAATTTACAAAATGGAACGAACTCACCAAGTTTAGCCAATTGAACCTGAAGGCCGCTTGGCATGTGTTGATGTAGAAGTCCAAATTGTAGACGAAGCTAGACGAAGATCAACATGAACTAGTTCGGTTTATGGTAGTTGCGCGGAATGTCTTCCGTTGATTTGAGATAAACAAATGTTCGGATGTATGTAGTCGATTTTTGATGTGCATTGCCCTTTTCGTGGCCAATAGTCAGGTTCAACGCTGCGACTCAACGAATTGTAGTGTATTTTATATCAACCATATCACATACACTACATTAAACTACGTTATTAATGTGGTAGATAGAGTTGGTATAGAATATTAATCATCGTAAATAATGGTAACTAATTATTTGAAGACAAAAAAAAAAAAGAAAGTTGAGTCGTATAGCACCACACTCAAGTTGAGTAAATTTGTGTCAGCGTGAGTCGTACAATAATGTCACGAACGATTTGAGCATAGTTGAGTCAGGGTGTAGCGTTGATTTGATAATCAATGAAACGCACACATACATGCAATGTGGGAACAAACCGAAGCTTCATTGCTTCGTCTTTGTACATGATTGAATCTTGAATGAGTCATTTAACCAATCTTGTAGCGCACGGTTGTGCGTCTTGTTCTCGGTAGGTCTTTGTTGCGACACATGACCGAGGCTAGTAAATTGCCGTACTGCTGCAATTTGAACACCAGGCCATCATGCCAGACATCGTCGAACGCTTTTTCA